AGGGTCTAGGCCCGAAACGTCAGCCTTTCTGCTCCTATGATGCTGCTTGGCCTGCTGTGTTCATCCAGCTCTACACCTTGTTATCTCTCTTTATCTGAATCATATGGGCCTTGTCTCCTATACAATGTTAATTCATTATCATCTGGACCTGAGGTCAGTTCTAGCTTGAAATAAAATTGACAGTTTAAAGTATTTATAAAACATAACATTTCTAATGCCTATCTATGAGACTTGGAATCTAAGGCCTGAATTCTCATTGAATTAGAAGAGCTCCATGCCTTAAACAAAATGCAGCCAAAGCCTGAAGTTCTGTCTCTGATCCAGCATTCATTAGTTTTGTTGTCAGAGCTGGGTTGGAAATGAGACAGGAGGTATTTCATGCATCCACAGTTTCCAGAGGCTACAGCACAGTTAAAAGTGCAGCTGCCTTCAAATAGAAACATTTTTCATCACCCAGGTTTCTAAAACATGACTTGTCAGCTTTAGATATTTACGAGAAAGGTCTAAACTTCATAGAGTTCTTTCAGAAGTTAGGTACCTGTTTAAAATGGGTTAGATACCACTTGAAGATGATGAAGACTAGAAATAAGACTGCATAAAAATTGGATGTCTTTGGAACTGCCAAGTTATTTCAATATGTGGTCTTTAAATTTGTACAACAAAAAACCGTCTTGCAGTTGAAAAACATCAATAGTTTCAATTTCAAGAAGTTTGGTGACACCAGCCTGAGTCTTAATATTGTAGGATTAATCCTGTATGGCTGTTGCAACAACTTATTATTGTCATATGGAGGTTGGGATAGAATTCAAGTATTTGTTATTAATCGTAATTAAGTATTATGTTAGGTGGCACAAACTTGGACGTAATGAAAAGACAGCAGACACTTAGGACTGGGTTGTCCTATCCCTATTTGGGGTTAAATATTATCAGGCTGGCTTTAACAATGTGTGGAGGGAGTTGATTTGCTGTTTAGCATCCCTATTCACGTTGTGAGCATTTTGAAATTAGGAGGATAAGGGCATATGGGTCAAAAGTCTGCACACTGCTGATCCAACATTGATGCAACTCCAATGTAGATTGCACATTTCAGACTTCCTCCGTCACCACTGCAAAATAAATGGTGTTGGGCTAGCTTTTAAAGATGACATAGTTCACACCAACTCATGAGGCAAACCAGGTCTGGAGTTGGTAACCATTTGACAGGTAAGTTCAAAGTTATTTACAATTAGATATGCCATAGTGAAATAAGTGTGGAATGATAAGATCTTGTTTTGAAGAAACAAATGATAATTAAATTAAATTATGAAAGTGTAAAGATCTTCAGATGCATGATCATCAGGATAAAGTAATCATTCGCACTGAACAATTTTGAAATTTACTACGTTAATCGTCTGTATTAATTTAATCCATTCATTAAATTTCAGCCGTTTTAAAAAAAAGAATTACTCATGGGATGTGGACATTGCTGGCTAGGCCAGCATTTATTGCCAATCCCTAGTTGCTCTTGAGAAGATTGACCATTGCAATTCATTTGGCGTAGGCACACCCACAATGCCAAGACATACTTCCCTGTTACGATGCATGAACAGTTTTCTGGGCTCTTTGAATGAATTCATAAGCATTAACATATTTGGCTTTGGAGTTTTGTTGACACTGTTTCAATAGAATATCAGTATGAGTACATTACTGAGTTCCAAACCCAGTTATGGATTTAACTCATCAAAGCGATCGAGGGTTTTTTTAACCTTGACATTTTTATCGGCTCCTAATAGGATTATGTTTTTAAGTGATCTTTTACAAGACTTTTAATTTATTTTTACAATTTTATGAGCATTTTAAAAACTTCCCAATGTTGTTAAGGGACTTATAATTTCTATACATGGGTAAGTGAGCATGTGGATAAGGATATATGGAGAGGAATGGAGTTAAAAAATCTATGGCTCCTGGGGATATGGGCAGGGAGGGATGGGGATTAGGACAGAGGGTTAGTGAATCTTGTACTCTTGTACAAAACTGAGCAGAAGTTACCGTAAACAGTCGTGGGTCATTTACTCTGCCACCTCAACATCTGTCTGAGTCCTGCTTCAGCAGGCAATAGTTGCAACTCCAGCCTATCCCTACCATCCCACCATGAAGAAAGCTTGAGTGAGCTTTGCATGTCAGATAGGGAAATCATAATGTCAGAAAATGGCCCGACTTCTGGCTCAAGATGAAAATCAGCCCTTAACTTCGGAACATAACTGTGATAAATCAGAAACAAAAACAAAGTTGCTGGAAAAGCTCAGCAGTTCTGGCAGCATCTGTGAAGGAGAAAACAGAGTTAACGTTTTGGGTCCGGTGACCCTTCCTCAGATAAGGATCCTATGATAAATCAGAAATTGGTAGTTCTCTGGCATAATTATTTATATTAATGAAAAAGATATTTTTAAATACTTATGATGCATGGTTTGGTTCCATTATGCCTAAAGTTTCAGTCATAGAGTTATAGACTAATACAGCATGGAAACAAGCCCTTCAGCTCGAACTGGTCCATGCTGACTATGGTGCCCACTCAACTTTTCCAATTGCCCGCACTTGGTCCATATTCCTCTAAACCCTTCCCATCCATATACCTATTCAAGTGTTTTTTTTAAATGTTGCTATTGTACCTGCCTCAACCAGTTTCTCTGGCAGCCCATTCCATATATGCACCACTCTCTGTGTGAAGAAGTTGCCCCTCAGGTCCTTCTTAAATCTTTCCCCTCTCACCTTAAACCTATGCCCTCTAGTTTTCAATTCCCCATCCCTGGGAGAAAGACTATATGCATTCATCCTATCTATGCCCCTCATTATTTTATACACCTCAATAAGATCACCCCTCATTCTCCAATATTCCAAGGAATAAACTCCTATCCTGACTAACCTCTCCGTGTAACTCAGACCTACTGGTCCTGGCAACATCCTTGTAAATCTTCTTTGCGCACTTTCAAGTTTAACTATGTCTTTCCTATACCAGGGTGACCAAAACTGTACGCAATACTCCAATTGCGGCCTCACTAATGACTCAATCAACTGTAACATAACGTCTCAACTCCTTTACTCAATGAAGACCGATGAAGGCCAACATGGTAAGTGCCTTTTTCACCACCCTGTCCACCTGTGATGCCACTTTCAATTGGCAATGTACTTGTACTCCTAGGTCCCTCTGTTCCACAGCACTCCTCAGGACCTGACTACTTACTGTAAAAGTCCTACCTTCGTTTGACTTTCCAAAGTGCAACACCTCACACTTACCTGTATCAAATTTCATTTGCCAATCCTCAGCCCACTTCCCTATCTGATTGAAATTCCGCTGTAATTTTTGATAACCTTCCTCGTTATCAATACCTCCTAATTTTGTATCATCTGCAAACTTACTAATCATGCCTTGTACATTCACACCCAGATCATTTATGTAAACAACAAATAACAAAGGTCCCAGCATCAGCCTCTGTGGCACACCACTATAGGTAACTTTTAGGTACAGAAAAAACCATGTTGTTGATGGCACTACCACAGGCATTAGAATGTGTGGCAGCAGGATGCAGAAAAAGTAGCCTATGAAATGAGTCAGTGTCTAACCAAGGTTTGACAAACAAGCTACCACTTTTGATCTCACTGTTCTAGTTAATGTAAAAACCTAAAAATCCTTAACTTTGACTCCAAAACCCATGACGTTCTATAGCATCAAGTCAAATATGGATAAGCAAAGGCTCTGCTGGTTACCAACTATTTCTTCACCCAGCCATTTCCAATTAGGTGGTGAATCACTGAAGTTTCATCTTGAACACCAAATGGAAGAAGCATGGACGATGGCAAAAGCACTGAATGTTCTCTGAATGAGGGACTTCAATGTTGATCACCAAGTGTAGATCAGCAGCACCACTACTGAACAAGCTGGTCCAGTCCCGAAAGATAAAACATCTAGACTGGGTCTCCAGCAAGTTGGTAGTTAACCGACAAGACAGAAACGCTTACTTGACCTCGGCTTAATCAGTTTATCTGTCACAGATTTTTCTATCCATGCCAATGTTGGTAAATGTGACCAACATACAGCCACCTTGTGGAAAGAAAGATCAAGCTACAGGACACCTTACATTTTGTTGTGTGGCACTACCTATTATGCTAAATGGGATTAGATTTCAAGCAGATTCAGCAAGTCTAAACTGGGCATACATGGGTGATGTGGGCCAGAATTATGTTCAACTACAATCTGTAACCTTTTGACCTGTCATTTCCCACCTCACATTACCATTATGCTATGAGATCAACACTGTTTCAATGAAGGGGGCAGGAGGGAATGCCAAGCATATCTAAAAATGCGGAGTGAACCTAATGAAACTATGATATTTGTACTCAAATAGCGAGATGAAGATCCATTTGAGAAGCAGAACTAACCAAATCCACAACCAACAAATCAGACCTAAGGTCTGCAGTGCTGCTGCAGTTAGCCACAAATCGTGGTGAACAATTACACAACTAACATGAGGAACACTCTCCATAGATATTTCCTGCCTTATTTTTTGTAGCGGAGGTTTGTGGGGGGGCCGGGGGGGGCGGGGGGGGGGGGGGGGGGGGGGGGGGGGG